ATCAATTAATTACCTATTACGCAGTTGCTCATATAGCCTTGGATCCTGGCCAACTGCTTGACAGTAGACGAAGTATTAGATTGGGTCATGATGCCAGGCTATTGCTCATAGAAAAGAACTGATGTATTCCGAAAAGACAAGAGTCTTCCGGTATTCCGAAAGACTACAGCATCAATTAATATATATGCGTGTACTCTCAGGGGTTCAAGCAAAGAAAAACAACAAAAAATGTTTGAGTTATTGCCCTTTGACGTAAAATATGTGCACTGCGGGGACATTGGATGGCTGTTTTATTCAAATTTACATTTGTTTATAAAGATTTTTGTGTATGTGCAATTTTACAGTTTCTTTTTAATTTGTATATGATAAAAACAAGATATCAGTTATACATGTAGGTATGAGTACGTATCTAGAAAAAATTCTCATTGAGTTTCTTCTAGAAACAGTCAGGCAAGCTTTTGGTCCAGGAATTTGTCTTTTGTTGTTTGGAAAAAGAAAAATGTAATGTATGCAGGTGTTCTGTCTAATTTTATACAAGTCAATGTCATTGTTATTCCTTTGAAATGTCAATGAATGTGGCGTAAACAAACAGGCGTTCCTTTTGCATATTTGTTCAACAATGGCAGATAGCGACCGTGATTCTTATCTTAGACAAGGGAATGGTCTATAGAGTCGTCATAATCTACAGAATAACGTTATATACATTTTAATATACGGCGATGTTTGAATAAAGAAATAAGTTGTCTTATTTCGATAACAAACTGACGTTGTCCTTATCTAAATTAAGAAGGAATAATGCATAGCTTGTTAATGAGATTCTCTGCTAATAATATTCGTTTCATGGTAAAAAAAAATCTCATCAAAAAGATATCAGGCTTATAATTTTGTACGCCAGAGGTTCGTTTCGCTTAATAAAGACTCATAAAAAAAGGGGGAAGGATACCAAAGCGACATTCAAACTCATAAGTCGAAAATAAACGGATAACGCCATGGCTATAAAAGAAAAAGACAAACAAACAAACAACAGTACACAAAACACAACATTGAAAACCAAAGACTGAACAACACCAACCCCAACAACACTTGGGTGATCTCAGGTGCTCCAGAGCAGATCATGTCTTATGGTTAGATAAGAGTCAATTACCAATCCGCTATTTTGTAATATCATATCACTTGATACAAGTTTATTAACGTATTTTACAGGAGTATCACGACGGGTGTGGCATGTGGAGCATGGTCTGCTTACCCTTCCGGAGCACCTGATATAACCTCCCAGTTATTGGTGGGGTTCGTGTTGCTCAGTCTTTAGTTTTTCTATGTTGTGTTGTTTGTTTGTTGGTCTTTTTCTTTTTTAGCCATGGCGTTGTCAGTTTATTTTCGACTTATGAGTTTGAATGTCCCTTTGGTATCATTTGCCTCTCTTTTAAGTGAAATATTACGTGTAGAAGTAAAACATTAACAATTATCGTCTGCATGTATAAAATTCTCAGTCGAGTTTCTTCTAGAAACAGTCAGATAAGCTATTGGTTCATGAAGTTTGTCTTTTATTGTTTGGAAAAAGAAAGAGAACTTGTTATTGACTTCTTATTGGAGTTATTACGTTAAAATGATGATTAGTGGCAATTTTTTGCGTGTTTGCCTATTTACTTGAAGCTTTTTGAAACAAAAAAGTTCGGTATGTCTTTCTAGAGGATAGAAATGTCAAAGAAACCGAAATTTCAAGTAAATGTCTAAAATTTCAACCGAATTTATCTCTAAAGGTAGCACATGATGGTATATTTTTTTTATTACATATTTGAATTGACTAGATGAAAATAAGCTTGTATGCAAACTTTCGTCAAGTATTCACCGTGGAATTAAAACTGTATCGTATGCCCTTAAGTGTGTGTTACCTTTGTTCGTCCGTACGTCCATATGTCTGTACGTCCCAAAATTAGTTTCCGTTCTCTAACTTTAGCTTGCCTCAACTAAATGTTATAAAACTTATACACAATGCTTATTACCACTAAACACACATCAAGTTCGAATTTGGGTGGCGTCGTTTTTACCGTTCTAGAGTTATATTCCTTTACATATGAAAAAAAATGGAGAATTTTTCGTTTCCCTTCTCTAACTTTAGTTTGCCTCAACCAAATGTTATGAAACTTATACGCAATACTTATTACCATAAAACACAGATCAAGTTCGAATTTTGGAGGCGTCACCTTTTACAGCTCTCTAGTTAAGTCCCTTTATAACGTTATATGCAAGCGGGGGCATCATCTGTGTCCCATGGACACATTCTCCATTTATTTTGAAATGCTATTGCGAAGATCGACAAAATTCAACAAATTTTAATCTTTATTTTTTACGTATATATACTGAGAAAAAAAGTTTACCTTTTTTTTAATAAAATATTTCCAAAGTTGCGGAAATAAATATTTAAGGATGTACACCTCTGAGAAGCCAAAAATTTCTAGAATTAAACTTTTTTTCTTAACCTGATTTTTGGGTTTATATGACTGTAAAAAAATAATTGGTGAAGAAAACACCTCATGGTGGTGCACTTCTTTTTTTGCTACGTCCCTTTAAAAGTACCCAATTTTGATGATTTTCCAATTTTTCATCAATTTTTACCTATTTTTGGGCTATTATCGTGAAAAAATCACAGTTCCACAATTTAACCTTTTTTCATTCTTTCAATAAACTTAAGATGAAGTGGATCAATCTGAATAAATTTAACTAAAAAAAACTATAGGTAGGTGTTAATATAAGAAAGTTTTATCATATTTTGATGCTTTTTTGTGTCAAATTTACCATGCTTTCAATTTTGTAAATTTGTGATTTTTCTCAGTTTTAAGAACAAAATGCATAATTTCAACTTTTTTGTTATAAATGATTGAAAAAATACATATCTAAGAAATTTGAAAAGAAAAAAATGATATGGGATGTACATGATTCTGGTAAAAATCATTTTTTGTACACCTCACCCATTTTCTCAAAATTTTGGCTAAAAAGACTGACTTGATTGGTCGTAAAATTTGAAAAATTGATTACTCAAAAACTTTTTTCACAGAGTTAAGTTTAATTATAACATTCTTAAAATTCATTGATATTTTCCACTTGTATCACATGTTTTGGAAATAATTCCAGAACGAGATTTCAACGAGACTAAAACGTCAGAAGAATACATCCTTAACGTGTCACTGTATTTATCAACATCAAGACTTTTAAATGCATGACATAATTTTTTTACCTGGGAGATTTTGCGCTCATTTCAGGTGCACCTGCAAATGGGGTCATTTTGTTTGTTGACCTTTTACACAAATTTATTCTGATGAAAAATTGTGTTTGCGTCTAGATTTAAACGAGAGAAAGCATTACTTTTGAAAGAACAATTCGTATGGAGTGCCGTAGAGGAATGCCGGAAAATGACCGTCATCGAGCATCGGCATATTGGAAGGCGGAATGAGCAAAAACGTTGCAGTAGATTAGGGTGTTTGCACAACTTGGAGGTTATCTGAACTACGGGGAACGTTCTTATAAAGATAGATAACCTGTATACCGCCATCTTTGATTGGAAAATATCAGTTCACAATATGTCTAGTTTTTTTGCTTAAATCTGCAAATTTTGAGACAGAATGGCAATAAAAGGGTAAGACAGTTTATCGGAATAAAGAAAATAAATGATTGATTGCATTATTCAGACTGATTTATCAAATATCAAATATTTTTGTTTGTTCGAATCAATTGTCAACTTAGACATTTAAGAGGAGATAACTCAATAGCAAAATTTGTATAAAGGAATGATAGAGGGTTTTTTTTTTATTTTTTTATTTTAGCAAGAAAACAAGGTCGGTGACACCATTTTTTATTTTTATTTTCTTATAGCATATGTTAAAACCTATGTTCTCATATTTTATTTCAAAATTCTATCTCATAGATTTCTTTTTATTCACAAAAAAGTTTTTTCATGAACAATCTATCCAAATTCTGGAAAGACTTGTAGCTTGAAAAATAGCACGGTGACCCATACTTTTTATTATATTTTTGAAAAAAAGCAAGGAAAAATCTACATTCTGGCAAAGTATAAGAAAATTCTATTTGAGGAAATATATACCAATGATCCACCTTAATAGGCAAAGATCGGGAAGGCCTAAAACACTTTTAACCGTTACGTAACGTACATTTTTTCAAAGTTAAAACAATTTTATTTTGTTTTTTAAGAATAGAATATTAATACACCAGTTTATTGTCTATATGTTATGTTGAGAATGCTTCTATGAAAGACTCGACAGAGACGATCAACACGATGCTGGGTAAAAGGCTGTTCCAGGTTTTAATAGTTCGAGGAAAGAATTATTAGTGGCGTATTTTTGTTCTGCATGGTGGAATTTGGTATGGAAGTGATTGTATGTTTCATGACTGTAGTTGGATTTGTCTGTTTGTTTTGGGGATGGCGACTAGTTGATGTGAGATTTTATATACAACTTTACAATGCGTGCATCTGCTTTCTGTCTACTTGGTCTTTCCAATTTAGAATACTTAACATGTCACTAACACTGTTACGGTGACAAAACCTAGAAACCCTTAGTTGTACTTTTTTCTATTTTGATTATATACTCAATAAAGTAAGTCCAAAACTGAAAAAGGCATATTCTGGTGTTGGTCTTCATAAAGTTAATGCAATGTAAGAGTAGCAAAAAATCACACCTACCTTCAAATCTTGACCAGCTTTGAAGCACACAGATGAGAGAAACTGAATACCAACAATAAACAGAGTATAGCGGACAGACACATTAAACAAATGCTGGCACAATTTCCTCCGACAATCTCATTGTAAGTAGACACCCATAGGATATACCAAGATATATTTTAAATTCCAGTGCAGGAAAAGAATACAATTCACATGGACTGCATAGCAATTTCAATAAACAAACAGACCGAAGGAGAACTAGTGAAAAAGTACACATCTAATAATAATTACACTACAGCCTAAATTTAAAAATTGACAGCTCAGATGTACTTTTTTTTATTATTATCATTATATGATAAACAATATTAACAATAAACCCAATTCCATAAACTGTCTTTTTTTCTTGTAAGATATTAGACTGCAAATGTACACAAGAAGAAAATGGATAAGTATTCGTGTATTTTTCGTGAGTTTTTGCAAATATGAAATTCTGGGGTAAAAAGATACTAATTCCATGAATATAAAATAAGTACATGGAGAAGTTACATTTTTTGTTAATTAAGAAATTACAGAAAGTCTCTATAATTTAAGGACTGGTTGAGCTATGAGCTATTTCAAAAACGATTGCATAATTAAAAATAAAGTTGTATACGAAATTCAAGGAAGGAGGTAAGAGTCGTCATTTAACCCCTGAAATTGCAAAAATAGTAAAATTCTTCAATCTTGTATATATTGAAACGAGGATATAACCTGGACATATTTATGAAAAAACCTTAGTTGTGATACCTAAACGACGAATGTGACATGTTTGCGCTAAAATGGTCATTTTACAGCCTTATCAAAAATGGTGTTTTATCCATATAAACATCTCTCTACAGGACATCGTGCAGCAAAATTTCTTTTTTGGAAGGTTTTTGTTTATATCAGTTGTAAATAATTTTAAGATCTTGTGGGCCTAAGACACATTTTCGTCGTGTGAATCTTATAATGTTTTATGTTTACTTTTGATAAAAATGGAGAAAACTATATATTTGAGATCCAAGTGCAATGGTCTATCTCCCTATACAACTATAATACGATATTTCTACACTCTACGAGTTTTTGTCAGAACTACACGGTTCTATCTCCACAATTTAGTTAGTTAAGAGAAAAATATTTTTGTAGTGTTGTATCTCCACTATTTCTCATGTATTTGTGCTGTTAAATAATTGTTATTAAAATTATCTTAGAAGTACTATGATTAAATGGTTTGCATGGTTTGGACACAATCTATAAGCAATTCTTAGCAAATCCAGCAGTTCAGAATTGGGAATATTACAAAGTTACAAAAATCGATGGTATATAGGGATAAATTTCTAAAACTACATTGTTTGTAGTGAAATGTTCTATCTTTAAAAAAAGGGGATGCTTTATTCTAAGTTGTTTGTTTATTAAAAAAAAAACAATCGAACAAAGAATTACTCTGCATGTACGTAAATTCTATTCCTATATAACTTTTCATGTCTCAGTCAAATATTTATGATATTGAGTTTTTAAAAGGGGAATACATCATTATAAGATTCACACTACTTTTAATGTCAAAAACTAAAATACTAACTTTTGAAATACTAATTGTGAACATCGGATGATATTTGATAGACTTATAATACTTTTGTTTAGACGAATTCAATGGCTAAAATAGTTACCGTATCATACTTTCTCTATTTTGTAAAAATAAGCTCACTAATTATTTTTAGCAGATCGGTAAAAGTTATTAAAATTTGTAACAATAACAGGTACTGGGAGTGCAATTGCTAGAAGTCCCATCAGCACAGTCATACTTCCGACAAGCTTTCCTAGAACGCCTTCTGGATACATGTCTCCATAACCAACCGTTGTCATAGAAACGACTGCCCACCAAAATGTAGCAGGAATGCTTGTGAATTGTGTATTTTCAATAGATTCTTCTGCATAAAACATCGCACCGGAAAATATAATAACTCCAATCCCTAAAAACAGTACAAACATAAATAATTCTTTCATACTTGTTTTTAAAGTTTTTCCTAAGATCCGAAGTCCTTCCGAATGTTTGCTCAGTTTAAGAATTCTGGTAACACGAAGAACACGCAATACCGCCATTGTATCCTGTTCGCCCTTACATTTCCCGGAAGCAGCATACATGAATAGATATACAAAGTATGGTAAGATGGCTGCAACATCAATCCAGTTTATAAGATTCTTTAGAAAAGCAATACGCGAGGGACAAAAGATGAAACGGAGTATCAGTTCTAATACAAACCAAGCTATAACTACAGATTCGATGACTGAAAGTGGGTGGCCAAAATTAGGAACTAACTTTTTCGACTTTACTCCATTGGAATCCAACGTTGTGACATTTATACAACCAACATGTTTATACTTTGGTAATGTTTCAACGCAAAAAGATACAGTAGATAACACAATAAATGTTACACTGACACCTGCAAAGATTTTAGCAGCAACTGATGTTTCTGGATACTCAAGAAATTCCCATACTTTTTTACTCAGGCTGCCTTTTGGCATAACATGGTTTTCAGTCTCCGTTATGAATCCTTCGGCTTTCATATAAGAATTTATTACACTTCTCCCCATTTCAAAAAACTGTATTTCCCCGAGAAAGACATCCGTAGGAACTTCCATAGGCCTAACAAGTCTACCACCACTTTGGTAGAAGAACAAGATAGCAGGGAAACTAGGTCGATGTCTGTCGAAAAAATATTCACCTCTGTTTGGATCCCAAAATTTTTTGCGTTTTTCATCGTTGCCAAGTAATGTATCTGGCAGTCGTTTAAGTGTTCGAACTTGTGTCTCAAATCTTAGGCCGCTTACATTTAGGGTAATCCTTTTACAAGTTTCTTTGGAACAAATATGTTCGTCACATTCCAACAAAAAATGATGTGTCAAATCGTTGATGTCGTCTTGTGAGGCTTCGTCTGAGTCTGATTCATTACCGTTATTGTCGTCTTCAACATGGTTACTTGTATAATGATTTCCAGAAGAAAGGAATCGTTTGTCATTATTTGTATTTTGTGCTGTTATTACATGCATAATTCCAAAAAAAAATAGTAAAATATTATACAAATTGTCCTATGAACGAACGTCCTAGGTTATGACTACATTTTGTATTTAGTTTTCATTAATGCCTTAATCTTTTCACATTATAAATCCAACAGTACATATACAATTTAAAGTTCGCACTCTATTCCAATAATCTCGTAAACATTGTGTATATCCTCACTTTTGGCTAGTTGGATTATCACTTTTAACCTATTTAATGTATTTAACTTGTGTACTTTGATATCACGTAACTTGCTTTCGTCAAGACATTATTATTTATTTAGTAAAGGTCATATGGTGAATAATAAAAAGAGAATAACATTATTGTATAGCTTTTCTCAATGGACCAATTTGTTAACAAAGATAAATATATTAAATGTACTAAGACTGTAATTCCGATATCGGTGCCAATACATATTGTTACCTCGCATATTACTGTATAGTAAATTTTTAGAATAAAATGTTCAAATGACAGAAGTTTTTGGTATACAATTGACTTTTGATTTTAATAGGTTTTGTTTACACTAACATTTTTCGATACTGATAGTTATATGTCCAAACTTAGTGTCGTTAGATCATACCTTGTATTTTTGGTCTAACCTCTCTATTACAAATTGATGATAGTAAAGAAAATTCGTTTTATAGATTTGAAATATTATATATATATATATATTGGAAAATAGTAATTCATAATTCAGCCAATTATCAATTTGAGCATGAATTCAACTTTATATAGTCAATAAACGATTTTTATTCATTCAAATTTGTATTATTTTTTGTGGGGCTGTCTCATACTATAAAGTTTACGGCGGATCGCTTGCCGGGTCATGTTTATAGAACTTCCACGTTCAAATATCGTTAAAGACCCCTATTTAGTTATTACTGTGAGTATACCTTACTGCTAGGAACTATATTAAGCGTCTATAAAGCCCTTTCCTTAGTTGCAATCAAAGTGTTCGGTACATTTATTTAATCCTTAGTGTATACATGAAACATTTGTTATGCACGTTATGCAAATAGCAATTAGAGTTAATCACTATCTAGTTTTTTTTTCAAATGATGCGTATAAATAGTGTTAGATTCAATTAAGTTTCTTTCAAAAAGTTAAGTAGCAAAAAATATGGTATTAACCTTGAATATAAGTTTGAATAATTATATATCTGATTTGGTAAATTACGAAAACATTTTTAAATCTATCATACAGCTGAAAACTCATTACAAAATTCTAAAAATTGATGTAAATATTTATTATTTTGTTTAGATATATTTATCTACTACTTGTAATGATCACAAACGAGGATTGGATGGTTATTTTGATGGATTATAGGGACTACATGATATTAAAATGCGCCTCCAGTGGTCTCATGGTAGCGTTGAAAATCGGTATGTGTTGCTTCTTTGCTAAACACGCGACATGCAGGAATGAGAACCGTTAGGGTTACATATCTTCCTTTGGACTGTTGCCTTGTGAATTAGTCCATTAAAATCCGTGATTTAAGTGTGATTGGAAAGAAGTTAATTTTATTCTAAAATATAGTTTATATTTTGCTTTACGTATACAATTTGAATATTACTGGCTCTGTAAAGATTAATGATTAAGGTAAATACATAATTTGAATTTATAGTTATAGTGTATATATCAAAAAATTATGTCCCCTACTTATTTTCAGTCCATGTCTTTTACTGATGAAAACGGTTTTTCTTTAATGACAGTTATCATGGCTAAAAATATATATGATACTATGCCGGCATTGTTTCTCTTGTTCGCTCTTTAAGAAAAATAGAGGAGAGCTACGATTTTTCAACTCCACTATCCTACGTAAATGACGTCAGATTGCTATCCATCGTTATTCAAAGTTGGTGAGTCCGGAGAGATTACCAATCCTTAAGAGCAAATTTATTTGTATGATTGTCAAATGAAAATTAAGAATGAATCCGAAAGTAGGTAGTAGAAATTCGATGATATATTTGGTTCATGGTTCAAGCTAGAAGACCCTTGTAATTATTAGTTCAATACAATACGGAATTTCAAAAATCCTCATATGGGTCCATATGAGCCAAAATAGCCAATCTTCTTCGGCCAGTTGCGATGTAATATTCATATTAAGGACAAACACATGTTTGACAACTTTTTTGATAAGTGTTTATTTGAAGGGGTAAATTCAGTAAATAAATATACGTCATCAGGGACCGCCCATTTGGGGGAGAAAGCTTTCTGTACAAAACTGAAGTCCTGTGCTCTTCTGATTGGTAGATAATATTTGTAATAGATACTTTTTGATAGATGGATCAAAACTAGAGTTAAAAAAAAATAAAAAAATGAATGCTGAATGTACTAAATTTTTTTACTACAGGGTTGAAAAGTAATGGGGGTCAGTAAAGGAATTAAGTGCGAATCTACAGTGTTTGTAAACAAGGCCATGTGAATGCCCAAAAATGCCGCATGACCCTATGTTTTTATTGTTGCATAAGATAGGGCTCCATTTGTACTTTCATGAATGATATATGAAAGCTTCCAATTTCTAAAGGTAAATAAGGTATAAATTTAATTCAAGACATAGATTAGCATTAAAGTCAATGGGAGATTTTTTACTGAATTTACCCCTGAATGGGAGTTATCATGATTAGAAAGTGTTTTGCCTCTTGAATATGAAAAATATTTGATTGGAAACTGATTAGTTACTACAGATTTGCAATTACAAAGCTCCTGCGTCATAAGAATATAATTATTCTTTTTGCAAGAAGGTTATATGTCATTTTTTTCTTTTTAAAAAAAGTGGTAAATATTTAGAAAATGGTCTTATTCTTTTTATAAGTAACTTCTTTGTTATGTGCTTACTAAGGAATCACATCCAGTATTTACATATTATGTTTTTTCAAAAGACGAAAGTTTGAATGGTGTTTTGTGAAAATTGGCACAAGATTAGTTAACCTTTGTTCGAAAAAAAACCCAGAATTATTTAGATAAATAGTAAACGGGTATAGTCACGTTAATTGAATATAGCTATTGTATAATATCACTTTTTTCTCCTTGATGTAATTTACACCATCCTGTAAGACATTTATGAATAATTAAGTCATTTTTATTTGCCTTGTGTGCCAGTGTTTTATGTTGGATCCGTGTTAGGCTATCAAGTCATTAAATTTTCATAATTTCAAAGAAAACCCATCCCTATTGTATACTTAAGTCGTATATGATAATATGTATAGTAGCCAACATGCTGTTTTATTAAAGGTGAACATAATATTGAGTAATTAATATGGAAAGTGAATGTTTAGAATGAAAAAAAAATTCTCATGTCTGGTACTAATAAAGGTTAAAACAGACGATTACTATTTTATTACTAGTAGTATAATAAATGAACGAATGAGAGAAATTTTATGTTTGGATACTCACACTAATGTGTTTCATTGACCAGGAGCGATCGGCCGTACTAGTTGATGTATGTGAAAAGGTGTATTAAAGGGGCATTAGCTACGAGATAAAAAAAAAATTAAATATGCTAGTTTTGTTGTTCGATCATTAATGAAAGTGAAATAGTGAAATAATAATTCGCTTTTAGCAGCCATTTTAGTTAAATTTTGTCAAAATAAGCTACGAAACTTGCTGATGAATAATTATTCACTTGCAAGTGACTAATTCGACCTCATTGAATCCGTATTCATGTGACCTTCAATTTAACCCCAGAGCTAGAGATTGGCTACGCATGTATTATGCGTGTTCAGCCATTAAAAGGAAAATAATGTCAACATTGAAAGTGAAACAAAGGTGAACCATTTCGTTGACTGAATCGATCCATAAAAAACATTCTTATACAGGGAAAAACGATGATTAACTAACTTTTCAACCTATAACATGAAATCAAACAGACCTAGAAAAATCCAATTGCACGTGGTCACAATCTATTTATATCTATGTTTATGTCTATATCGGATTATGTGACCGTCGGCAGTCTTCGGATGTCATCTCGATGGTTAATTAGATGGCGCCCAGACTAAAATACACACGAAATGCTGATATATATTATCGAGTCTATGCATTGTTAATTGTTTATTTCAGACTTATTGTAATTTGGATATACGTTTAAGTATGTTATAAATCAAATATGAGAATTTGAGTCAAATCGGTGAACATGAATTTGACAGCTATTGACCCTATAATTTTAGGTTAAGAAATAAAACAAGCAACAACGGCAAAAAATAGAAACAAGTTTAACGTTTCCAAGGTCTGGATTGCTTAGCAGTATCATATGTTTACGTCAACTTTTGTTTTTGTGATTTTTTGTAAACAAAATGACACAGTTTTAATTCTTATGGCAGAAGTATTTATTTTTTATTTATTTTTGGATACTTTTTAAGTTCCATTAGTAAACTCATACAAACTTACAGGAAATAGGCTCTGTTCTGAATGTTATAGATAAGGGACTGTGACTGAAAGAAAATATAACATAACATAGTTAAAACTTAAAAAATATTCATTAGACCAAGAAGGTTGATCTTGATTAGACTGACACACGGTTCCGTTAATTCTGAACTATATTTATTTTCTCTAATGAATAAATTATTTTGACAGGTTGGTTACATATGGAATTTTGACGTTATATATTTTGTTGTACTTTTTTTTAAGTGCCGTTCAACGCAAATACTTTCTATATTGAATAATAATATGATAGTTTGACAAATTGAAATTAAATTATTCTTTTAACAAATAAATATTGAATACTGGTTTCAATATTGACCAGCAGCGCTTATCCAACAATAAGTGATCCTATAAATCCGGATTCTGACCATAAAATTTCTTCTCCTTTTCCTGAAGTGTGCCCTACTTCATAATTCACTCAAGCCAGTAGAATCTGAGAAAATCATTAAGCAACTGTTCAGAACTAACTGTTGTAAAGTAATAATTTCAAGTTGGTGTGTATATTGTATGAAACTAATAGCTTCGCATCGTGCGAAGCAACAACTAAAGTCGCTGTTTTATGGTTCGAAATTATGAATATACGGTCCGTAGGAGGCCTGCTGTAAGGCAAACCTTCTGTCCCTATCCACTTTACCCTCATTTTCTAGTGGCAGTCCAAATTTCCCCGACCTTCATCCCGGACGGCCTCTATGAAGGACCTATCTATTGTATGAATTGTTAATTTGTTCTTGTCCTAAACATGCATGAAACATTTGCCACTGGACTTTCTGTATATTTCGAGGTTTCATGGTAAAGTTAACTGCATACGAAAAAGCTATTGGCGAATTACAGTACGAGAAGACAATAACTCAATGGTAAACTGAAAAAAAGTCACAATATATGATTGAGTAAAATTATTCATAAGAAGTATGTTGGAATGCACATGAAAAAGTCAATATGTACATGTATGAAATAAATGATTAAAATTGAGTTTTGAATGCATAGAAAAAAGTCATAATATACTTGTATCAGGGGATGATTTGTTTGTTTAACACTTAATTGAAGGATTCTCATGTTATTGGTAAAAACACAGCTATAGAAAAAAAATCAAAATAACATATGGTCAAACCATATTATAGAATTTTTAACTTAGCCTCAAATTAAAGTAAAATGTTGAGCTGTCTATCTCACATCTCCTTCGAAAGAGAAATGAAACAAAAATAGATACAACAAAGCATGTATCAGTACACCAGCTTGTACACGTTTCTTTTGCTTTGCGATTTTTATCTAAATTTCCAAAGCTAAAGAGCATAAAACTTGAATAAACATATGCTTTTTTCCATACAAAATATATATTAGCAATGTTTTTCCTATATATATATATATGCGGCCATATGCCCATTTTCATACAAAATTGTGTATTGTTAATTTTGTTTTCAATATATATGTAGCCTTATCATGGCTTATGACCATTTTCATACAACATATATATTGGGAATTTTTGTCCTACATATGTGTACAGACCCTTATGATAATTTTCATACAAAACATATATTGTGACTTTTCTTCCTGTGACTTTTTTGTTTTATGGTAAATGTTAGCCGTTCAATCATATATAACATATTCATCGTTTTTGATAAAGTTAAAGGATCATATGACTGTAAACTGACATGGTCATGACTTTTGAGTACTTTTACTTGTAAGATTCTCTGTCAAAAAAGTCGAAAATTGTTTATACATCATAAATATTGTGTAATTTTTGCTAGCAGGGATATATCTTTTAAAATCGGAAGTTGTCTTTTCTATTCCATTTAACATCCTTCAAGAAAATATAGTTACCATTATCTTCCATATGAACCCAGGTATACAATAAGCATGCATGAAAAATCGTTTGAAATATTTTCAGCCGGATATTTCAGTGTATTACTAACCACCGTGGTTTGCTGAGAGAGCATCTTTTGTTAGACAATAATGTCACAATGTCATTTAAGGCTGAGAAATGCTTACATGCAATTATTGCTAGGCTCCATTGTTTCAAATTCTTGTGTATTAAGTCGAACATACAAACGGTATCCTAGAGGAAATGTATTTAAATTCTTAGTCATACATAAGGCAATACGATATTTAAATGATATCTATTTAATTTTTAAAATGAACCTTCAAATTAAATTAATAGAAACTTATTTTAAGCTGGATATACTCGATTGTTTCGCAGTTGTTTACGAAGCTTGGTTCGTAAATGAATGAGTCTATATTTTAGAATTCGGTTACTTATAATTAGTTCTTCTATTTTGTCATTACAGGTGGTATCGTCTTTTATGTTACAACAGCTGGCTTGTTCGGTTTTCTCAAAGCAACTCGTATTAAAATCACCCGAACAAAACTCCTTTTCTATATCTTCCGACCTACAAAGAGAAGGGATACTCTTTATGAAAGTTGATAAATACATTTAGATTTTGAATACAAATTTTTCAGCATAATAATTATGTTTATAGAATTATTTAGTTCTATGTCTTATGTGTGTGAATAAGGACATATAAACAAACATTACGCAGAACAATAAAATCTGTTTAAGCAATTTAAATGAACCTCTCTACTTTAAAAGTGTTTATTTTAAAACATTAAGAAGTCTTTTATTTATTTTTTTTTTAATTTATTTTATTTGCTACGACATTTTCAGATTTACCTAGTATGATTGATAAGTAAACCTATCAAACAAAGAAAGATTATATACATATCCGCCCGCCACTTAGTTGATTTAATTCTTTACTGCCGAATATACTAGTGAAATTATAAATACAATCGTTTCTCAACTTTTAAGGTGAAAGATTAAATTTAATTTTATTTTGATTCACATGGAATTGATAATAATTGAACACGACTCTGGATTGTGTTACACAGTTAGGATTCTTGATTGGACATGGTGTTGAGTTTGGCCATCTCAAATGAAATTTGATGTACGTCGCAGCCAAAGAGTTACGTTGATTTATGCAGTTATTTATTTGCATGTTCATCTCTCTATATAATTATTGCGTGAACCTGTCAGGGTTATATATTGGTGTGTTTTGGAAGTGTCTATGGGCCTTTCGATATCCTCGGAATCAAGATTCTCGGAACGTCTCGAAAATTTTCGATCATTTATACAGGTAGTTATCTATGTCTTTGATATGGCCCCTCTATGGATAGGCTACCACGTGACATTGTATAGTTCGACAATCAAAGTTCATTTGTAGATTGGAAAGTAAAACAATTAAGACTAGGTTGTAGTAAAAAAAATATTTTATATGTTAGAACCTATTTGTCTTTTGACAAAACATATGTGTTTTAAATACTAGTAATGCGAATGTTTATTAAATATCAAGTATAATGATAACGCAATTATATAATTCATGCTTTGAGACGGTCCCTGTATGCGTTGTGTGTGTAGTATTTAATACAGCGTGCTGTTGTGCATTGTGACAATAAACCTGGGAATAGTTAATGGATATATAATGTCCCAAAATAAACTGATTATTTCTGAACGTTTATCATTTGATATTTTGTATTTCAATCATAGCATGGGAAAATGTTGGAAAGCATGAAGAAAATTAAGAAAACGATATTTCTGTTAAAAATATTTATCTTAGGTCGGAAACACAGTGGTCGGAAAGCAGGAAGATAATTAAACAAAAGGATTTTTCTGTCAAAAATATATAATTTCATTAATAGATACTACCAGACCAAGAGAATATTCGTTATTAAGTTTAAAATTATCTTATATACGTGCATTATGTCTCACAGGTTTGAACAGTCATATTACATTTATGAAAATTAAATGCAACGTATGAGCACCAATGAGCAAAGGATGCGTACCCAAAGTTAGCTAAATATCTAAATTTTAAACAGTCGTGAATGAAAAAATACTTGCATGGTGTCAATTCACAAGGATTTTAAATCCTTGCATCTCACAAAAAACGTAATTAATATTTTACAATTATAATCATAACAAATTTTAATTACTATGTTAATTATTTTATACTGTTTTAGTATGGATTTTCTTATATTTTCTATAGCAATGTATTCATATTTTTGCGCCTGTCCCAAGTCAGGAGCCTCTAGCCTTTGTCAGTCTTGTATTATTTTTAATTTTAGTTTCTTGTGTACAATTTGGAGTTTAGTATGGCGTTCATTATCACTGAACTAGTATATATATTTGTTTAGGGGCCAGCTGAAGGACGCCTCCGGGTGCGGGAATTTCTCGCTGCATTGAAGACCTGTTGGTGACCTTCTGCTGTTGTCTGTTCTATGGTCGGGTTGTTGTCTCTTTGACACATTCCCCATTTCCATTCTCAATTTTATATAGTGGAATGTTAGACTTTAAGAAGAGATTGATTTGATAAATAAAATGTCCATCCGTAAATACTTGACGCTTGTGTTTATTGATATTATATTCTAAATTTTCGGAGAAAATTCATTAACAGGGATGTATGTTAATTATAAAATTTCAATTCTTTTTTGTTTTTTTTTTTTTTTTAATAGATCAACCTTATAGCATCTAAATATTTGCATTATGGTACGATTTTGAAAATTGTATTCATTGTGTTGACCAGCTATCCTACACGTCTTGATTCATTCACATTATACATCACCCTGTTCACACACACACTATTGGTTTGCATTCTCAAAAATTCCGGATAAAATGGCAAAGAATCCGGAGTCAAAACAGTTGAGGTAGGTAGTTTGACATCCGAATTCAACTAATAGATTGATATATGTGATGACGCAAATGCGTATTCTTATCCAAAGTATCAGTGCGTATGCTCTCTATTTACTGTATTTCTTGCGCATAAATACCACGTGCATGCATATATATTAATTTCACTCGTGAATGCGAATTTTCGCTTTTATCAGTATAAATTCAGGACACGGCAGTTAGAGCTTGACATGTGACTTTCAGGCACAGTCATCATTACTTACGGTATTCTGACCTCTAGCTGTTTCTCTTTTCTTTTCTTTTTTTGGGTCAATGTCCTGTTATAAACTTTGACATTTTCGAAATGCTAAGGATTTTCTACCCAAGGAATAGATTACTTTAGATGTATTCGGCAAAACCTTTGTTTTTAAATTTTGGGTCCTGAATTCCTTTCAACTTCGTACTTTATTTGGCCTTTTTAACTTTTTTTATTCGAGCGTCACTGATATTCTTTGTAGACTTAACTCGCGTCTGGCGTACAACATTTTAATCCTGGTATCTTTTTATATCTACATATCTTTTTATATACTAGTAAATTGGTTCTTTTGAGAGTATGTTCAGGTATTCATAAAACTTCTGAAAATAAGATATTTTTCAAAACCAAGTTTTCCTGTAGAATATTAGGATTGATTTAAGCAAAATCAGGAAATCCTTAACATTTGAGATGTTTTATGAGACCAAAATAGGTCTCTATATAAGAGGTCCCAATGAAGCTGGTGTGTTACTCTCAAGAAAAATATACGAAACCTTCTTATAAGTTGCATGCCACAGGGTTTCACTTCACATGGAAATTGGACTTTAAATTTATCTTTACAACATCTATCATGAGTACAGACAGCTTCAATAACTAGTTGAGAATAATTGAAGGCATCCAGGTAACAAAATATGAAGATATGATAGATAAAATAAATGCATCCAGATTATAAAGCAAACTGAGTGCTTAAATTTATATTGCAATTGGTTTGTGCAATTTACAGTAGACATCCCGTTTGTAGAAACTGGGATTAGCAAAAGGGTTTTGAAAAAAGATGTACACTCCCAAGTAATAAATAAAATAGTCGAGCCTTAAAATGTATATACAAATAGTAGCTGTATATTTTTACACTTTTCAGGGGGCCTCGGTGGCCAAGTGGTCTAAGTAGTTCTACTACTGTAATCACTAGCCAGTCAACACTGAGGTTGTGAGTTCGAATCCCGCCCGTGCGGGTGCACTCGACTCCAATCTTAATTGACTAGGATTGTCAGTTTTCCTATCGAAGGTCGGTGGTTTTCTCCGGGCACTCCAGCTTCCTCCACCAATAAAAGCTGGCCGCCACGAAATAGCCCAAATGTGGCGCTTTAAAAGGGCCTTAAAACACCAACAATCAATCAATATATACACTTTTCTATTCACAACTATCCAACATTGCTTTCAACTGACTTGTACAAGAATCTACACACAATTACATGTTTCAATAAAGGTGTTTAACATCATTATTATCTTGTTCTATTCACAGTCAATTATTTCAATTCAAAAGCAAACAAAAAATCAGCAACAATTTTTTGGTGACCAGTCAGCGGTCTTGGGTTCACGTATGGCTTTCCTTTTTTTAAAGAAAGCAACTTGTTTTGTCTTATGGAACATGTACTTACTTTGTCAATGTTTTGTTCAGGGAAATTCTACGAGGATCTGCTACTTTCTTAAGGAACTTCGGACTTTCACCTGACAACGTAGGAGGCACAGAAGTAAGAAACCTAAATAGACAAATAAAAATGTAGTTGTAGGCCTCGGTTAAACAAGACTTTTTAAAACATCGGTCTTTCCTTGAAGCAGATTATGATTTACTGAAGTAAACATATGTATTGATAGTTATCATGGAAATGTAGTTACTTGATGTGTAAGTTGTGAAAACATCGAATTTTTATTCATATCTATTCAAGTCCTACATTTTACCACCTCTAGGTGTTGTTGAACATACCCACGGTAGGTATAGTGTCCGGCTGGGATCGTGGTTTTTCGAGTGATTTGGTCGGGTTTTTTTTAGTGTGACAAATATTTTTCGAGTGAATATGATAAAAAATGTAAACAAACAGACTTCCTTTCTGGTAAACCTAAAGAAAAATATGCTAGAACCTTATATAGACGGTAAAATAGCATTTTTGATAAAAAGATATTATCAACCCTACATTATTTTGTTTTTAAAACGTTTAATTTAGCCTTACAATGCTTTATTTCAAAATATAGATTAAAGCCAGTTTTATACACATACCAATACAAATGTCAACGGAAATCTGCCAATGGAATCTATATATAGATATACAGACACTTTATAAAAATTCTTGATTTTGCATTGAAAAGGCATTTTGAAGAGTAAATTAATTCATTTGTATATGTCCGTGTTTTTTCGAGAGCAGTCCGTGTTTTTTCGAGTGTGTCCTTGTTTTAATGAGTGAAAAAAAAACAAAATTCCTATGGCTTAAAATGTAATATGTCAGTGCATTTACGCTTAAAACAATGAAAAGGTTCAAATAAAGTACTTTTCAAATCACGAAACAATGCAAAACCAGTTTGATAATGCTGTATTAACACGTACATTTCATGAAAAGTCATCGTTCATTTGCATTCAGAAATCTTCCTGTTAGTGTACCGATATGGATTTCATATACCAATACCAGTAAATATTTCGTGATGTAAACAATCTTTATGTGATCTCATGTTGGACTGAGACGTACGTACACATAGTGTGTGAAGCTTGTAAATGTGGTTTTTTACAGATAATATCTCCTTAATGTTTCATTTACTATTTGTCTTTGATGGTAATATTAGCTATCTTGGTGTAATCAGGAGTGCCCATAATTTTACACTGGTGTTGAAAATATATACACCCTGAGGCGCAATCGAATGTCGTATGCATTTGCAACACCGGTGTAAAATTCCGCACACCCCTATTTGCACCAAGATAACGAATTTATTTCTTATTTAGCGTTCGTTTACTTTTTTATTCCCGGGAATAAAATTGAAAAAAAAATCTTATGGCGAACTTCCACTACACATTTTTCAACACCGACATTGATGTGCATTGTCAAATATTATCTGTTTAATTTTTTTTTTATATATTTGCGGATTTCTTATAATATCGTAATACTGTAGGGTTATGGTAAAATGTTTTCAGAACAGAAAGTTATCATTAAATTGAAAATTGTTGAATTTGATCAACATTGTAATCTGTTTTTGTGACTTATTAAGCATGTATAATATTGTCCTTCGCTAAATTACAGTTACAAACAAAAAAAAGTCAGTTTTTAAGCCAAAGAATGTTTTCTTTCTTATTTATATTTTCTTCAAAAAACCCGGACCATTTGTTAAAAAACCCGGACGTTTTAAATGTTGCTCTCGAAAAAACACGGACAATATAAAACACTATATTGTAAGTGAGCTAAAAGGAAATTCTGCGTCGTTTGTGTTCAAAACATGTATAGCATTCAGAATAAGGCGAACAGTCACGAATAAACTATTATACTCGCGAAATAGCAGTAAATCGATTGATCGCATGTAAATTCATTCGAAAAAACCTGATCTACACTCGAAAAAAGTGGACCGATTAACTCGAAAAAACGCGATCTCCGCCGGACACTATACCTACCGTGATACATTAGATTTCGTATAGAAATGTAGTGTCGGACTAAATTTTCAAGGTTAATTCGAAATTATTTGCTTATTGGACAGGTATAAATGGCTAAGATCATCTTTGTTCGAGAAACAAAGATGATGTATTCGCTGATCATGGTACATTTGTACATGTATATGCAGTATCCCATTAAGTGTTTATTGAAAGTAAAAATTCAAAAAGTTCCAACGAAAACTCAATGTCTCGCCTGCTGTCGCTGCTGTCACAGACTTTAAGTGTAATGGTGACTGCCATTTTTTTTGTCAGGAAAATATGAAGAAGAAAAATAAAACACTTTTTCATCAGATTCGTTTTATTGATCTCGATCTTATAGAAGCTTTTGTCCAAGTTTCATTACATTCCATGGAATATTGACAAAGTAATTGATGTCTTAATAAACTAATCCCAGACTATCTAAAACACATTATATTTTCAACTTGCATTATGCTTTCAACTTGCAGTAGCACAATTAGTTGTTGAATAGGCGTTATGGGTTGTGGACTATTGCAATGTTGATATGAATTCGTATTGTTTTTAGATTTTTTCAAACCTATACTTTCATACCGTTATGTGTTGACAATACACTTGCAATTCATGCAGACATGTATTCATATAACGTTATGAGTTGACATACATTTGCAATTCAGACATATATTCATATAACGAGAGTAACGAGTAGACATGTATTCCTATAACATTATGAGTAGACATGTATTCATATAACTTTATGAGTAGACATGTATTCATATAACGTTATGAGTAGACATGTATTCATATAACGTTATGAGTAGACATGTATTCATGTAACGTTATAAGTTGACATACATTTACAATTAAGCCATGTATTCATATAACATGTATTCCTATAACGTTATGAGATGACATACATTTGCAATGGAGATATGTTTTCATATAAGGTTAATAAGGATTCTCTTCACGTAATTGGTTATATGGTCTTATATCTTTCATACAGAATTCTTCGTCCAAATAATACCACAGCTTACATCGTATTCATATAGCATTATGAGACAGCATAATCATTAATGTGTTGTTTGTTATACACAAGTAGTTAGCAATAAAAGATTCTTACAATTGTATATAGACATAACTAATTTTTACCATATTTAGCAAAACGTCGGTTTGTGACCTTGTTCGACGTTTTTTTTAAATTAAATCATGACAATTCGGTTGTACGTGTGCTAATTCTTATGATATGATTTGCTTATCAACAAATACTTGAATTCGATTGGTCCGCTAAAGTTTCTTTTCTAGGTTTACACTTCGATAAACTATGTTGCCTTGTAAAGAAAGTTAAAATCAAAAGAAATAATAAATAACGTTCCGATTTAGAATTATAAGGATTAAGGGGGTACCAAACACTTAATGGGAGTTAACTCTTTAAAAATCAGCTGAACGTTTTAATCATATACTAATAGTAAAGTTCTCAATGATAAAAATTAGTGTTTGTCAAACTGCTATAATCCAATGAAATTATTCCTGTAAATTGTTTGGTTCAAATTTCTTGATTTTTTTATATTTCTATCAACAGGTCCAAGTAACTATTTTATCAAAATTTTATGAAAATTAAACGAGCCAAACCTATCTTAGTGAAAGTGTTGGGTACCCCTTAAACACATTTTTTCTAGAGGTTATTGATGTGTGAATTGTGTCGATGACTCACAAATTAAAAATTCATTTTGTGAGTTAATCGACCAAGTTTACACATCAATAACCTCTAGAAAAAATGAGTTTAATCCTATAATGATCTTTGTCATACCCAGATGTTCTCTGCTTTAAACCGTAGCTATACAAACCCGAGCATCCATATCATGATTCACTTAGATTAAAGGACTGTACTTGTATATATTAAGAGCTTGCATGTGCGTTCATAGCGTAATGAGTTACCATTGCGCTAGGCATGTGTACATATATACAACGTCATGTGTTTAAAATTCGAACAAGATTAGCGAGTTATTTAATAATATTAACTATGAATATAAAAATCAGAAGATGTGGTACGATTGCCAATGAGACAACTCTCCACAAGAGACCAAATGACATTGTATCCGTACAACAGTGTCAAATCTTATATTTGTCATGATTGTACCCTTACAACAGTGTCACATCTTATATTTGTCATTGTATCCCCTTATATACAACTTATTACACCGTCACATCTTACATCCATCCTTGTACCCCATTATATACAACTTATAACACCGCAACATCTAACAGCCATCCGTGTACACCGTTATATACAACTTATCACACCGTCACATCTTACATCCATCCTTGTACACCGTTATATACAACTTATTACATTGGTTGCAATGAATTACATTGATTTCCCAGTGAAATAAAAACCGATAATTTCACATGTGAAATAAACTTGGTTATTTCACTGGTTATTTCACTCCTCTGACGTCATACAACAATAGGCGTTATCAAGACGTCGATAACGTCGGATCAAAACAAATTGTGAATGCGTAGAAAAAGATATAGTTCCTTACATTTTCTACTTTAATTTCATAAAAAAAAACACTTGCCAATGTAATAAAAAGAATAACTAATCAAAGAATTCAAATATCGAAAAATATTCAACTCGTGACCGAACAACACTGATAATTTACTCAAGCGCTACGCGCATTCGTGAATTAATGTGTTGTTCGGTCACTCGTTGAATATTTTTCTCTATTTGAATTCTTCGATTAGTTATTCTATAATTATAACACCGTCACATCACATCCATACTTGTACACCGTTATATACAACTTACTACACTATCACATCTTACATCCATCATTGTACCCTTACAGCAGTGTCACATCTTAGCTTCGCCATTGTACCACGTTATATACAAATTACTACATAAATGTAGTTACAACTTACATCCGTCATTGTACCCCGTTATATACAACTAATGCCACTGTCACATATCATATTTGTCATTCTACCCCGTAAAATACAACTTACTACACCGCCATATCTAACATCTATCATTGTACCCCTTTATATACAGAGTATCACACCGCCACAACTTACATCTATCCTTGTACCCCTATATATACAGAGTATCACACCGCCACA